AGAATCCAGAGGTCATGGTCCAGGCTATTCCCGGCCCCCTCTAGAGAGGGCTGTTTTACAGCCAAGAATAAAGTGGTCTGAGGGCCCATAGCAGAGAGCTGCATTCATAGTTGCTCTTCCTGCCCAGCCGTCTGCTCTTGGATAGCCCTCACGTTAGGTAGAAGTCTCTGTCACCTCCATCCACTTCTCCTCCTCCTCCTCCCCAGCCATGCAGGGACCCCGGACAGATGCCCTTGTCAACTCCACAGACACTAGAGTGTTTCTCAGTCCCTGCCCTGAGCCGGCGGGGGCTGGGGGGTGGTCGGGGAATGCTCAGTCACGTGGTTGTGGAATTAGGACCGGTGGGCGGGACTAAAGAGCAGAACCAGGGAACGGGGAGGGCCACCCGGAGGCTTCTCTGTCCTTAGCATCCTACCAAGTGTTCATCTGATGCTAAATAGGATGGAAAGTCAGAGGAGAACAGAGGATGGAGCGAAGGCAGGAACAAGGATCATGAAAAGGCCTGCTTTCCTTCTTGTGTTGTGAGCTGCTTCCTGGGAACCCGAGAACCTAATCCCGGGGCCGTGAGGGATGAGAGGGCTTTGGGACTGGAGCTGGGAAGCAGTTGGGATGACAAGGAGCTTCATTCCCAGATGGTCTGATTCAGTTAGCCACCCCAGGCGAGGGATTCAGTGTCTCTGTCCACAGATGATGGTGGTGGCCTGGGCGGTCCTTTTTAGAGAGACTGATCAAGAATGCAAGGCGTTTGGCCACCTTGGTCCTTGTTTCTGCAAACACGAAGAAATCTCTATAAGTTTCCTCCTAATGACATTCTAAAACAAGCCTTCCTGTCTGCCTTCCTTCTAAGGTCTGTTCAGACAAGCTGCGCCTCTGACTGCACTAGGAAGGGAGCGTTTCATAGATTCCTTTGTACGAGTCAGCTTTGCACACATGCTGGTGTATTAGTGGTGGAGAGGCTCAGGAGAAATTTAACCAAACTTGGCTCTGATTTCTTATCCTTGAAGTATAATTGTCATTTTGTTGTTTTGATTCTCTTTCCTTTTTCTATCTATAAAAATAAATCTCCCCCACCCCTCAAGTAACCACCCATCTATTCTAAGAGCCAGAGATTGAGTGTTCTCAAACCAGCCATGAGTCAGTGACAGCCTCTTGCTCTTATAAATAGAAACATAGACTCTGTTCCCGCGTGTTCTTCATAGGCTGTCTCTCCAGCACTTTCCTTTCCACAGCCAAGGAATGTGCTTCTGAGTCAGCAGTCAGCTGCCGAGGTTGGAGAACGCAGGGCAACGCCAGTGGCAGAAACCGCACTGCTGCGGGAGACCGGGCCTCCCTTCTTCCTCCTCCAACCTCCCTCCTCAGACTCCTCGCTTTCCTTGTTCCTTCCTTCCACACCTTGGCTTTTCAACCCTCCGGATTTCTGGCACCTTCTGGCTGGGTTTCCAGGTCTGTTGGTTCCTGCGATCATGACTGTTGGTTTTCCCAGGTTGCTGGGACGTACACAGCACATGGGGTGGTTCAGGAGAGGCGGGGAGAAGCACGACCTGGGTTTGACCTTCAGGAATGAGGGCATGGGGGCGACGGTGGAAGGGCCTTCTGCCGTCGGCCCAGCGGCCGTCAGCCTGGACCAGTGCCGGGCAGTGCCGGCAGAGCTGCAGAACAGGCACTGGAGTGTCTGCTGCGGCCTCCTGGCTTGTTGAGGAGGAAAGCTGAGGCAGCCCGAGGGAATTGGTCTTGTGTAGTCTTACCTCGGCTGCCTGTCACACTGTCCCAGGAGCCACCTTCCCTCCACTTATCTGCTGTCATTAGTGACCTGGGGTGAACTCCCATGGACGGGCACTGCCTCCGACTGGAGTCTGTTCATTTGAAAGCGCTTTGCATCAGCGGAGGGGGTAGGGCAGCAGGTGTTAATGAAGGAGTTTGTGTGTGGTGAGGTTTGAGGAAATGGGCAGCTCTTTGGAGGTATTTATTTCAAACATACAGCCAGCCAGGGAGTGTTGGCCCACACATCAGAGTTCTTTGAAAGTAAATGCCAAGACTTCAGGAGAGGGAAAGGCTTTTAGAAATGCATGTCGCAGGATCTTGAGTGTGTTGGGGTCAGCTGGAACACAGAGGTCCCTTGGGCTCCTTGGTCATCCTGGCAGGGAGTGGAAGGTGGCTGCTGCTCTTTAGGAACAAAGAAAAATCATTTTCTTTCTTGATGAGAGGCTGAACAATCAGAGTTGGTACGTTCAGTGCTTTCCAGACACTGACTGGAGGAGTGCCAGTCACCTGTGAACACAGGTAGGCAGGCAGGGGCCGGATCATGGGAGCTGTCAGCTGCCACATGAATGCAGTGGATGCAGTTGCAGAGGTCCCGCCTGCCCTGCCCAGGGCAGGAGGCAAGGAGGGCGCCCTCGGAGCACACACCCTGCAACCTTGGTTTCTAGTTACTGGCTGGATGTTCCCCTTTCCTCCAACTCTGGACGAACACATCTGGTTTTTTTTTTGCCACTTACAAACTTTGACCACCTGACATTTCTAAGATGACCATGGGCTTGTAAGAAAAAAAATGGACTCTTGAGAAATTTTAACATATTTCTGTTGTTGTGTACCTCCATCTAGAGTAAACTTTTGCTTCAGGGAAAATGAAGGTTAGTTCCAGTTAATTCCATTTCTTGCTGAACTCTTGGCCACAGAGGCACTGGGAAAGGCTGTGTTTTTAGCAGTGTGTGTAGGAGGTTGTTGAGTTAGTGACGTATTTGAGATGAGAAGCAAGTCAGTGTGTGTCAGGTAAAGAATTACCGTCTTTGGCCTCCACAGAAAAAGTCGTGGCATCCGGCCCCATCACTTCATGGCAAGTAGATGGGGAAACAATGGAAACAGTGACGGGCTTTATTTTCTTGGGCTCCAAAATCACTGCGGACGGTGACTGCAGCTGTGAAATTAAAAGACACTTGCTCCTTGAAAGAAAAGCTATGAAAAACCTAGGTAATGTATTAAAAAGCAGAGACATTACTTTGCTGACAAATTTCTGTATAGTCAGAGCTGTGGTTTTTTCATTAGTCATGTATGGATGTAAGAGTTGGACCAAAAAGAGGGCTTAGCATCAAAGAATTGATGCTTTCGAACTGTGGTGCTGGAGAAGACTCTTGAGAATCCCTTGGACAGCAAGGAGATCAAACCAGTCAATCATAAAGGAAATCAACACTGAATATTCACTGGAAGGACCGAAGCTGAAGTTCCAATACTTTGGCCACTTGATGTGAAGAGCCGACTCATTGGAATAGACCCTGATGCTAGGAAAGATTGAGGGCAGGAGGAGAAGGAGATGACAGAGGAGGAGATAGTTGGATGGCATCACTGACTCGATGGACATGAGTTTGAGCAGGCTCCAGGAGTTGGTGATGGACAGGGAAGCCTGGCGTGCTGTAGTCCATGGGGTCACAAAGAGTCGGACATGCCTGAGCAACTGAACAGCAGCATCAAGAATATGAGGATGTTGTGTCTGGTGATGTGGGAAACGGGGGGAATGGCAGTTCCTTGTATCCAGGGCAAACCACCCACACCCTCAGTTGATCTGGTTTAACCTTGTAATACATGGCAAGGTATAGGGAGAAGCAGAATGTTACTTCTCCTTTCCAAGGGGGCTTCTCACCTCCTGAGAGCTTTAGGACGGAAGGTGGGTCCCTTCTCTGGCGCTGCTTCGGAGCTGAGAGGCAGGCAGCTGGCATCCTCAGCAGACAGTTGGCGGCTCCCTTTGCCCTTGGCTACCTGCCTGGATAGTGGGTCACTCCTGCTTCCACAGAGCTGAGCTCCGGTGAGGCCCTGTGTGTCAGTGGGAGGCGGGGACGCGCCCGGGGGCCACCCACCCGGAGCCCCAGCAGTGAGTGCTGTGGCCGGGAGGGCTTCTCACACCGAGCTCAGTCATCTTCTCTCACCTCCTTGCTTACTCGGGAGACAGCTGGACTGAGGGAGGCAGCAGTGTCCTTGGGGCGTCCACACGTGGACCCCAAGCCACGCTGTTGCTCATCTCGTTGGTCTGCCCTGCTTCTCTGCCGTCCCACCGCCCTGGACCTTGGCCCCTTGCCTCCCAGCTCCCGACAGTAATTCTAGGTGGTAATGGTACGTGAACATGGTCCTCTTAGACCTCGCCGCTCCCTTCCCTGGGTCTGTACCGTGTTCACTTGACCTCCTCCCCCACCCACCCTGTGCCTCTGTATCTCTTCATACAGCTGTCTGTGCTGCCATCCCTTCCATCCATGAGTCTCAGATCTGGCCGGAGCCCTGGGCCGTCCTCTTACCAGGACTCTCCCGTGTGATCTGACCAGCCTTGAGTGGGTAGCTCCCACCTGGACACCGGGCCCCCTGGGCCTCAGCCTCTGCCGACTGCCTAATGTGCCCCTCCACCAAGGCAGCTCAGATGTAACAGGGTCAGAGGGGAGCTTGCCACACCCCCACTGCCCCCCAGATGAGTATTTCTCTTTGTCACGCCTTGGCCTGGTATCACCATTCATTGATTCCTTTCATCTGTAAGACTCCCTTGCAAGCCTTCCACTTTCCCTCCTCTCCATGTCCTGCGCTTCTCCCCTGCCGGCTGACACTTGCTCCTCCTGGAAGGCTCAGCTGTTGTCCCTCAGAGGCCCATCTTGGGTGAGGACCCCTTTCCCGTGACAGGGCCTCTGCCCATGTCCCCCAGCGCCGTGCCTCTCTCTCTCTGATGCTCAGCAGAACATGAGCCTGTCTCCCCTGCTCAGCTCTGACGTCCCTGACAGCAGCTGTGGTCTTGCTCCTCTCCATTCCCAGGGCCTCAGATGGTGCCTGGCATGTGGAGGGCAAGGCTGCATGTTACATTGTCTAACGAATGACTGCTGCACTTGGGAACTGTCTCCTAGAAGATGTTCCTAGATACTGACCCAGATGTGCTAACCATTCCTGTTTCTTTATTAGGTTAAGGTGACGGCGTCAGTCGGATCCACAGCCCTCCCCCTGCCCCATCTGTCTGGGGCGCTGAGAGTGGGGACATGGAGGAGAGTAAGAACGAGGCCACGAATCGGGCCCACGTCCTCTTTGACCGCTTCGTGCAGGCCACCACCTGCAAGGGGACCCTCAAGGCCTTCCAAGAGCTCTGCGACCACCTGGAACTGAAGCCTAAGGACCACCGCTCCTTTTATCACAAGCTCAAGTCCAAGCTTAACTACTGGAAAGCCAAGGCCCTCTGGGCAAAGCTGGACAAGCGGGGCAGCCACAAAGACTACAAGAAGGGAAAGGTGTGCACGAACACCAAGGTAGGGCCTGGGACTCGCTGGAGAAGGAGAGCGCATCGGGTGGAGGTGGCCTGTGAGGCCGGGCGGGGTCAGCCACAGCCTGGGGAGGCGTCAGGCTTACCCCGCGTGCGTGTCCTCTGCCTGTGTTCATTCGACCGTTCCTCCTGCCCCCTCTTACCCCGTGGATTGACACAGGAGCATGGGGGTCTCAGCTACTGAGAACTACCCTGAAGTTAAACAGCATGGGGGCTATTTGATCTTGCTGCAGCTCTGGCCGACTCTCACGCTGTTAGAGGACGCAGGCCACTGAGCACAGAGGTAGCCAGCCCCTGCTGGGGTCCTCTCTGCCTGGGTGGCCTGGCGCTAGGCAGAGCGGCCTCTGGACTCAGTGTCTGGTAAGGTGTGCCGAGTATTGGCCAACTTGGGGATTTCCCACAGGCTTCAGACCTCCTTTCATCTGTTTTCCAGAGGCCTGTGTTGATAAGCAAGGGCTTCATAAACCAAAGGATTTCTTTTGCTTGCTTCGCAATCTAGAGAAATCAAGTTTCCGTGAATCAGATAGGCCTGGACAAAGACCTAAGATGTCCACTCACGTGTGCCGGAGGAGGCGTGGGGAGTGGAGAAGGATAACACATTCTGTGTTTTCCTCATTATGTAAGACCACTTTCTGTGAGAAGCTGGAAAAGCTAGCAGGGAAAGGAAGTTGCAGATGACTTTAGGACTGCTGTTACTATTTCATGAGCCTTAACTTGCCCTGTGTGGGTTTGTGTTTGGGTAGGTATTCACACACAGAATTCAAGTAATTCAAGGGCATGACTCTTGTGAGTGTGCTCTAGAGTTTTATTAAGAATGAAGGGAATTTGAAGCCAGAGGCAGTGCCTGTCTCAACTTTGGACAGGCATGTGAACTAGTTCAGTGTCAGCCTGAGTCTTTCTGTAGAACATGGATCTTCAAGAACTCTCTTCAGCACAGAAAGCCCTGATTCTTGAGGATTACCTCCTGGGAGTCTTTCAAGTGATAGGTCCATCCAGGACCCAGGCTTGCTTGGCTGGGTGTTTAATGATCTGTGTCTCCTCAAGCAGACAGAGATCTGCTTGACTTACGAGCCTTCCAAGAGTTTTTTTCCTGTTGATGAGAGGTGACATGTGAATTTCTTCCTGTGTTGATGTCATGGCCCAGGTAAACATGGTCTGCAGGTGCCCTGTCTGAGTTTCTGTCCAGCAGTGAAAGTCAAGTCCTTCTACATCCAGAGCACTCAGAGCTTCTCTCTGAAGCCATGTGGGCGCTCTGCTCTGACCCAGATGGGAGTGAAGGTTTCTTGGTAATGGGGAGAATAGCCCTGTGGGGACTTCAGGGAATGGTGGTCATGAGGTCAAGAGTTCTGCCTTTGCCCTGAAAGCAGCTGTGTCTTTCAGTGTCTCATCATTGGAGCCGGCCCCTGTGGTCTCCGCACAGCCATTGATTTGTCCTTGCTGGGAGCTAAGGTGGTCGTCATTGAGAAGCGAGACGCCTTCTCCCGCAACAACGTCTTGCACCTCTGGCCGTTCACCATACATGACCTACGAGGTCTGGGTGCCAAGAAGTTCTACGGCAAGTTCTGTGCTGGGGCCATCGACCACATCAGTAAGTAAGATCAGCTCTCCTGTGGATGCTGCCTCTACCCACTTCTCGGGGGACAATGGCAGGCAGATTCTAGAAGCCGGTGTGCCCTATCATCGTTCGTGTTTGTTGTGTAGAGAGCACACTCAACTTGGAGTCAGAGTACCTGCCCTCCGGGGGTTCTGTAGCCTGAGATTCTTAAGTGCCAATTTTGTCTCCTGCAAGATGAGTTTACTTTGAGGAGCTCTAAGATCCTGGGCTCTTATTGAGCACTGGCAGTGGGTGGGGTGGGCGCTGGGGCCAGGCTGGGAAACAGACTTCCAGTGTGGGCTTTGACCCTCCGGTGGTTCGTAGTCCAGAGGGAGAGGCCCCCCGAGGTGTGGGCTGCGATGCACCACTGTGGGTGCCGTCCAGAGGGAGAGGCCCCCCGAGGTGTGGGCTGCGATGCACCACTGTGGGTGCCCTCCTGATGAGAGGGCACATGCTCTGGGGGTGGCCCTGGGGAGCGGAAGGAGACCCCTGCTCCGGCTGTGAGTGGCCAGTCGATAGTGGGGTTCCTTTGTTGGGTGGCTCTCGCGAGGCCTGCGGCACGCGGGGCTCCTGCTGGACTCTGGGCCCCCCAGGCTCAGCCTGGGCCCATGCTGGAGTCAGTAGACGTTAATGCAGACAGTGCTTTTGTTTTCATGCCGATCTGAAAAGTGGTTCAGAACAGACTGCCTACTTTATGAGGCTGAAGTCTTGTCTGTCGATCATCACTGATGGTTTCAGGGAAGCCTTATCAAGGAGCTGCTATTCTGAGCTCTTCAGGTGTGTCCTGTAAACATCAGCTTCAAAGCAGTTGTGCGTTTGTCACATGCTGGCCCACAGACGCCGCATTCCACTAGTTGCAGAAGCACGCTGTCTGTCTGCTGGGCTGTTCTGTGTAAGGCATCTTGGAACTCCGTTGTGTACTATAGTGTGTGCCAGCAGAGGGTTTGCGTCTGGGAGTGTGACTTGGAAGGGTGGCCAGTGGGGGAAGTAACTGAGATGACTTCAGTGAGGGTTAGCATGTTCCCCAGCACGTTTTCACAGCCTGCAGGCACGTTGGTCTCAGCAGACGACAGGGTCGTCACATCAGTGGACTCGTCTGCCTTGTGCGTGGCAGGATTTGTCTTGGAGCCCAGACCCTCTCTCAGCAGCCCTGGGCTGCTGCCATGCCTGGCACCTGGGAGGTACTCACTGGACGCTAAACAAAGACGTAGCTCTCACTGTGATAATGAGCAAGACTTTCCGTCATTTTGAGCCTTAGTTCCTACACCTGTGGACCAGAGGTGGGAGGGGGACAGTAAGAGACTGAGGCTGGATGGAGGGTGCCCCTCTCAGCGTGTAAGGGTGTGTGGACATCAGCGAGGTATGAGGTGAGAAAAGCCGTGGGCAGTTCAGGAGGCAGTGCAGCCCTTTGTGTCCAGTGGGAGGTGCCCCTGGGGCCCATCTTCCACCTTCTGTGCTGAGTCCTGTGGGGTCACAGGTTCTGCTCGGTCACTGTGGCTCTGAGCCCATCAGGGAGGACGGGGCGGGGGTGGGAGGTGTGGGGGACTCTCAGCCCATCCGGGAGGATGGGGGGCTCTGAGCACATCAGGGAGGATGGGGTTGGGGATAGGAGGGGTGGGGGACTCTGAGCACATCAGGTAGGATGGGGCAGGGGGTGGGGAGGTGGGGGACTCTGGGCACATCAGGAAGGATGGGGGACTCTGGGCATATCAGGGAGGTTGGGGTGGAGGGTCTGAGCACATCAGGGATGATGCGGGGGTGGGTTCTGAGCACATCAGAGAGTATGGGGGAGGGGCACGTCTCCTGCTGTCTCAGTGCTTTCGTGTGCTGGGAACACCTAACCCAAGAGGTGGGCATGGCCCCATGTCTGTCTCTGGAACATCTGCTCTGAGTCGTATTTGCCGTGGGAAGGGAAAGATGCCACGGGCATGACTGGGAAAAGCCTGCTGCTGGTGACTTTGAGCAGCCGAGTAAACTCTGCATGCGTGGGTGGCTAGGGGGACTGGGGTGGTGATGCTGACTGTCTACCCCACTGAGGACCCTCACTTGTGCAATCTTCTGCCCACCCAGGTATCCGTCAGCTTCAGCTGATACTTTTGAAAGTAGCCTTGATCCTAGGCATTGAGATCCACGTCAATGTGGAATTCCGAGGACTTGTGGAGCCTCCTGAGGATCAAGAAAATGAACGTGAGTGTACAAATAAGGAGGGAAAGCGGCTGGAAGGGGTGAGAAAGATTCGATCTAGGGAGGAGACGACAGGCGTCTCGGATAGTTTTCAGAGCTGGTTCAAGGGCTTCTCCATTTGTATAGCCTGTGTCTTTGGAGGAACTTTGACTTAATGAGGAGGCCCTGACATAGTATGAGACATGCCGGGTGCTTGGATTCGTTACAGAAGGTCATGTGCTGGGGGACGTTCCTTTGTGAGCTTTCCTCAAGGCTTGTTTCTTTCTTTGGTTTGTGCCCCACGCTTTTATGCCTGCTGTGTTTGACATGGGGTTTTGTGCCGTCTGCACACCTGGATATCTAGAGATCTGTGTGTGTGAATATTTCAGGTTTATGAATGGGTCCGGTGACGACCTTCATTCTGACTTTGGTCCACAGGGATAGGTTGGCGGGCCCTGGTGCATCCCAAAACGCACCCTGTGTCAGAATATGAGTTTGAAGTGATCATCGGCGGGGATGGCCGCAGGAATACCTTGGAAGGTACTGGGCAGTCTCTTTCTCCTCCTGCTGGTTCACAGCCAGGGAAGGGTCACCCTCCCCAAGCCCTGTAAGAACTTGTGTCCTCAGAGTCCCCACTCCTGAGACCCCTTCTCTGGTCCCTGCCTGTGATGGTGGACGGCAGGCCCCACCAGCTGGCTGTCAGGCACTTCTCTGGGTGCAGGGAGCCAGGCTCTCGTGAGCCGGGGGCACTGCAGGTCTAGACCTGACTTACTCAAGCAGACGGAGCCTCACACCAAGTGCTTTTCTGGCCTGTCGGATTTCCAGGCGTGTGTTAGCTGTGGATGACTTTGACATCTTGCTGGATTGGGAGGGCTTTGGGAGGTAGACACCTTACTTCCAGACAGAGGAGAGCTGCCCTCAATTTCCTGTGATTCCCACCTCCCACACTCCCCCACATCCTCATCAGAACCCCTATTTCTCCTGTTTGATGTGAACTTCCTCCTTCTCTGACCAGCTTTCGTCACCTCTGAAAATGTCTTCCCCCCTTCCCAGGATTTCGTCGGAAAGAATTCCGTGGCAAATTGGCCATTGCCATTACAGCAAATTTTATTAACCGAAATACAACAGCAGAAGCCAAAGTGGAAGAAATCAGTGGTGTGGCTTTTATATTCAACCAAAAATTTTTCCAGGAACTGAGGGAAGCCACAGGTTGGTGTTAATACCTCCACAGTGGAAGGACAGACTCTGAACACCACGCTGGTCCTCATCTGGGGGGGTTGGCGGGGCGGGGGTCGTTGCTACCACTGCTGTGCTGTAGCCCTCTCTCTGCCCTTTCTGCACTCCTGTGCTTCGCTCCGGGCCTTACGCCATCCATGTCTCTGTCTCCTGCTCCGCTGTCTTTTGTGCTCATCGCTGTGGCTGGGCTGCTCCTCCTGCTTGGACCCCTTCCCCTGCCTGGTGCCGAGTCGCTGTGGGTGGGGAGCCCTGGTTTGTTGAGAAGCAGACTGTAGCTGTTGAGTATGTTTTCTTTTTCCTGAGTTCATTTGCTTCTGAAGTAAACCACGTGCCAGATAAAAATGAGGCTGTTTTATGGTAGCTTGTGAATAGATTCACTTAGACATTTTGCTGCAAGAAAGAATGTGTGACAAATTGCAGTTATCTGTTTTCTAGGACAGTTTCTTACCATTGCATCTAATTTTTTAGGTTAACAGAGTTAAAGAGCCAGTAGTGCACTCTCTGCTTCCAGCATCTGGTTGTCTGTCTTGCTTGTGAGCATCTAGGAGATTCCCCTGTTGCCTTGATGAGTCTCAAAGAGGCTTAACCTGAGAACTGGCTCAGACCCTCTTCCTTGAGGTTAACCTCTCCCTTCTTCCCATCCTTGTTTCTGCTTCCTGTTGATGGCTGCTGTTAGGATAACAGGGTGTCAGGTAAATGCAGAGCAGTATGAGGATGACCAAGCTTCCCTCTTGTGAACAAATGGGCAGGGTGTGAAGATCAGGTTCAGACACCTTTTTTTTCTTCCTGTCTGGGGTTGCAGGACCCCATTCTCTGTGGACTGATAACAGACAGCTGTTTTCTTTTTCCTGCCTGGGGTTCCAGGACCTCGGTCTCTGTGGACTGATAACAGTCATCCCCTCACCCCCAGTCTCAGCAGACCTTCACGTGCATGTCTGTCCTCTGACACAGGGATTGACCTGGAGAACATTGTCTACTACAAAGATGACACACACTACTTCGTTATGACCGCCAAGAAGCAGAGCTTACTGGACAAAGGGGTGATACTGCATGTGAGTCATGGATTTCTTTTAGACCTTTTTTTATGTATCAGGTCATGTGATTACCAAGATAAACAATTTTATTGTCTGATCAGTTTTTCTTGCAAAGTCATTAAAATGAGTACCTCACTCGTCTCCTGGGACTGTGTATTTTGTAATCCTCTGATGTTTTTAACACTTTAAAAAATCTCTTATTTTGGGAAATATCAAGTGTGAACAAAAGTGGAGAGACTTGGGTAATGAACCCCCGTGTACCTCTTATCCAGCTTCACAAGGATCAGCATGCAGCCAGCACTGCCTGCTCCCCACTCCTGTGTGGGGCTGTGCAGAGCAATCTCAGGTAGCATTTTGTGCATAAATATTCAGTGTAATTTTAGTACTTCGGTTTGTGGCTTATGGTGCATTCCCATGGAGCTGATTATTAGTTGGTTTATAGGTCATCCTTTGGGAGAGGGTTGTAGAGTGAAGGGGGTTATAGAGGGAAGGGAGTTTGGTGTTTCTGGGAGCCTGAGAACAGTTCTGGCTTTACTGCTGATCTGGTTACAGAGGCCCAGGGAACAGAGCCTCGATCAGGCTTTATTTGGACCTTTTTGTGGCCTGACAGTGAGGACTCTTGTTCACCCGGAGTCAGGGCCAGCTAAGCCTTTTTTCCAGATGACTAATTGTGTGACATTCCCTGAGATGATGACCTGGAAATGGAATCAGAGAGCCACAGGTGGATGGTTCCTCCAGAGATGGTTCCTTAGGAGAGTTTCTTAAGTCTTGCTTGGTCTGGCTGGTCTGGGTTTGAGAATTACTGTTCCTGTGATGATGTGCTGACTGAGGCCCCTGCGGTCCCAGCACAGACTTGTGGCTGAGTATCAGGGCGTCCCATCTCTGCAGGGTGGTGATGTGTTACGCTGCCGCTTTGCCTTGGGCAGTGCTGAGGAGCAGGGAGCTTGCCCGCAGCAGCTCTTCCTCAGGGGCCTCCTATCTGTGTCTCAGCCCCGTGGCCTTTGTGTAAGAAGGGAACAGAGCAGTGGATGCAGCGCGCGCCGCCAGAGTATATCCAGAATGGGATATACTTGGTTGGATATTTCATCGGGAAGAGATACCCATGAGCCTGCTGACGCGCCTCGGGACCAAGCTAAGACTTGACATCTACCGTCCTCGTCAGGACTGTGGTATCAGTTGACATTATGTTGGGCCAATCTAGAATGCCGCAACCTGATGTACGTTTCCTTTTTATTTGTTTTTTTTTAGCACACAGGGTGTGTGCCACTGAATCCTGAGCCCACAGTGGCTACTTACTAAGTATTGAACGAATCAACCTGAGTGTGCATGTTTGCCCATTCCATCTTGTCTGGGCAGCTGGAGGTGCCCTTGGGGACACTTGGGGAGCTCCGGTCCCCCCTTGAAGAAGAGGCTTGGTCAGGAACCTCCGGAGCAGAGGAGTTTCTCAGTCCTCTCTGTGGAGAGCCCTTTTTCTCGCGTCGTTTTTCTTCATTGGTGCATTACTGTGGGGCCTTCCAGAATCCTGTGTATTGTTTGGAAAGCTTCTGTTCCGTCCCCAGTGTATCTCTTGCCGGTTCCCTGGGCTGTTGGTGCCCCCACCTCCTTATCCGTCGGGCATGGAAGCTTTTGGGTTCTTCCTTTGGGGTCGATGGGAGATGCAGGTTGAGTGTCCTGTGTTGTCCAGTTGCTGTCAGAAGAGGATGCTTGCTGATAGCAGCCTTAACTGGGGATGCTTTTCATTTTACAAGACACCATCACATCACATTGTATTTGGTGTTCAGAGCAGTTCCGTGAGGTGGAGTGGACTAGACTGCAAAAGTAGTGACTTGTTCCAAGAACAATGGAAAAGCAGGGACTCTGTTTCTAGGAACCCGTGTTCCTTTAGAAATAAGCCCCTCCCACCTTCCCGAATTTGTGTGGAGGACTTACTTTGGAACAGGAAGCCACTCTCGGGGCGGGGAAGGTGGTGTGGCCGTGGCCAGTGGGCACCTGTGCCCCTGCCTGGGCTTTCCCTTGAGCTCCCCCCGTCTCTGGAGACAGGACTACGCCGACACGGAGCTCTTACTCTCCCGGGAGAATGTGGACCAGGAGGCCCTGCTGAGCTACGCCCGGGAGGCAGCCGACTTCTCCACCCAGCAGCAGCTGCCGTCGCTGGACTTCGCCATTAACCACTACGGGCAGCCTGATGTGGCCATGTTCGACTTCACGTGCATGTACGCCTCCGAGAACGCGGCCCTGGTGCGGGAGCACAACGGACACCAGCTGCTGGTGGCTCTGGTGGGGGACAGCCTCCTGGAGGTGAGAAAGAGTGTTGGGGGGGCAGCATGGTTAGAAACAGACCTGGGGTCCCAGGCTGGGGAGCGTCTGTGTCATCCTGCTGCATAGAGTCCAACCTGGGGGCTCAGGGTCCGCTGAGTTAGGGTTAGGATCTGCCAGGTTGTGAGGGGGGAGAAGGGCAGTATGTCCTGCCAGAACGTCTTCTCAGGGGCAAAGGCTTTTTTTGCTCTGGAGTTTAGTTTCCCTCTATTAAAAGGTAATTTATATTAACTCTGTGTTTTCTGTCCCCTTCTAGCCTTTTTGGCCGATGGGAACAGGAATAGCCCGGGGCTTTCTGGCTGCTATGGACTCGGCCTGGATGGTGCGCAGCTGGTCTCTGGGGACGAGTCCCTTGGAAGTCCTGGCAGAGAGGTAACCGCAGGGGCTGTCCGCGATGAGACGGAGCGTCAGTGCTTTGCTCTGCAGGCTGGGCTCAGGTTTCTCCTTCTTAATTGATGATACATTCTTATTTAGGAGAAGAACGGTAAGATAGGTATTCATAAAATCATAGAAACCTACAGGTTATCTCAGTGATGTTCTCTTGTCACTCTCCAAAGCAAACTCTTACAAGCAATGTCTGAATCTTTGTGTAACATTGAAGGATGCTCTCTTATTCCTCTGTGACAGTTATATGAACAGGGGTGTGAAAATCCTGTGTCAAGTCTTCTTGTCTTTGAACTAGAGAGACTTACACTAATGAAATCAGTGTGGTAGCTGGGTATGTACTAACTTAGAACTAATTAAAGATGACTTTGAATTCAAAGGAAAACACCAAACTACTTGTAAACATTTCTCAAATGTCAGATATTTTGAAGCAGATAATTGCAAATGAGTTAAGACCTGGGATTTGCTTGCTGATAAAGAACAAGTGCCTGGACCAGAACTAGAGAAAGAGGATATGCTGGATGAAATTCAGGGTTGATATCATTTTAAGTCTGTTTCCCTAAGGTCCTCTGGGTAAATTTGGTGGCAAGTTTTTTTCATCAGTGATTTTCTTAAAAAGTTGGTGCACTTGCCAAAACAGAGCACAGTAGTAAATTAGATTCAGGCTTTGCTCCTGCCCACAGCAATGTACCTGCCCTTCTCGTTGGGGCGTAGCAGTCTGGGGCCTGTGGGATCCTGGAGCTGGAGGGGATGGGAAGCAGGGCTGATGTGGGGGTGGGGAAACCCCATCCAGGAGGAAGGTTAGCCCTGCCCTGGGCTCTCAGAACATAGAAATATCATCAAAGGTGTTTCTGTTGCTGTCACTGCTCTGAGCATATTGTTCGCACTTACAGGGAAAGCATTTATAGGTTGCTGCCTCAGACCACCCCTGAGAATGTGAGCAAGAACTTCAGCCAGTACAGTATTGACCCTGTCACCAGATACCCCAACGTGAACGTCAACTTCCTCCGGCCGAGCCAGGTGAGAGCCCCTAGCCAGTCGGGCATGTCTTGGCCACTGTCAGGCCTGGTCAGACCCTGTGGGTATGAACATACACAGCCTTCCTTCAGAACCAAGTGATGTCTCCCTGAGTTGGCTGAGGAGGCGTTTTCCGTCAGCAGACAGAGCAGTGAGGGCAGTGGGTGTGCAGTGACGAGCAGGGCACAGCCCTGGCTCCCTGGGCGGGACTTGTGGTGCACACCTGCGTCACTGCCACCAGTCACTGTGACCGGGCCCTCCCCTCCCCCGCTCTTGTCTTCTCATCTGCACCACGGAGTCTACCACCCCAGCTCCCCGGGTCTTTGTGAGGCAGGCAGGACTGGTCCCTTAAGAGGACTTGGGAAGATAAGACCCTCTGCAAGTAAAAAAATACTGTCAGCCAGCTCAGAATGTCTGAAGCCTTATTACTGCACCAAGAGTGATGTTTCACCAAGCACAATAATCTCAAAGAGCCCAACAACATTGAGAAAGCAGCCCATTCAAGATATCTGTGTCCTAGACTGTACATTGGGCCTCTATGTTTAGGGGTGAAATCTGCTGTTACTGGGCAGGAGTCATGGCCCAACAGAGACTAAGCAAGCCCCTAGCCCCCCACGGCCAAGTGTCTCTTTATCACAGGTTCCCACAGTGCACGCGCATTTATGTGTGTGACCCACTGCATCCCAGAAGGGGTTAAGGTTGGCGTTGTCCCTTCTGACCACACTTTGCCCAGGTTTTCACCGTGGTCATTCTGTTCTCAGGTGGGCCTTGGTTCCTTGGTGTATGATTTCCCTTCTTCATGACTTATACCCTTCCTGCCAGGTGCGCCATCTGTATGATACTGGAGACACAAAAGATGTTCATCTGGAGATGGAGAACCTTGTGAATTCCCGAACCACCCCAAAGCTGGCCCGCAACGGTGAGTCCTGGTTTGGCCTTTCAGCCGACTCAGTGTGTTCTGTGCGAAGGCTGGGCTGCAGTGTGCACAGTGCTCGTCAGGACGGGATGGGATGTGACTGCTCTGCCCCATGGTACACAAGTCAGCCCCACAGCCAGGAAATAGCGGTGCTTCGAGGCTGAGAAACCTGGTCTCAGGGGTCACGAGGGTGTGGAGAGAAACTGGATACGTGCTGTTGAGAGGGCGGGGTGTGTGTGGGGGGGCCTTTGAGCGCACGTGCCAGCCAAGGTTTGCAGGAAAGGTCTTGGCAAAGAGGTGTGGCCTCGAAGCTGAGGACCACGAGGCTGCGGGACACGGTGGCAGAGGCAGGGCCCACTCTGCACTCTGTGTGTGGTGCGGCCTCTGAAGAGTTCTTCGGAAGGAGAGTCACTGGTCACTGCAGGTGAGCCAGGCAGAGAAGGGCACCGGGCTGAGTGGGTAGTTAGGGCTGCGTCCATGTCAGGCTCACTGGCCTGACGTTGAGGCTGTGGATGAGAAGGGAGGCCGAGTCCAGTCTAGCTGTGCCCATCCGTGAAGGATGTGGCTTGCCAGCATACTTAGCACATCTGAACTTGGGTTTCTGTGTCTGAAATGGGGGTGCCTGTCGTGCCTCACTCCAGCTTTGGGGACCGGGGGGCACAGTGAGGTGTTCACTGCAACACTTGGTGTACAGCGGGGTGTCAGGAGTGGCAGCCGGGAGTGTTAAGGAGCCAGAAGCACTGCAGAGCCTGACAAGGAAGTGGGGCTGAGGTTTGAGTTATGTCTTGGGCATCTTGAAGTTGACGTGCTGTTGGAATATCAAGGTCATCTTCCTTGAAAGCAGAGAGTGTGTCTTGTTTGGCTACCCCATGTGGCTTGTGGGACCTTAATTCCCCGACCAGGGATTGAACCCGTGCCCTTGTCAGTGAAAGCAAGGCATCCTAACCACTGGACTGCCAGGGAATTCCCCAGAGAGTGTGTCTTTGTTCACTGTAGTTCTGGAGCCTGAACCATTGAGGTTGTCCAGTACATACTGGACCGATGGACATATAGACTTGGGAAACATCTGAATAAAGTTAATTTAGGAAGCCAAGAGATTTAGACGAGGACACCATCAGTGCTTCTCTGTATTATTTCAGGATTCATTTCCCTGAAAGACTTAAATAAAACAGGGTTTTTAGAAATGCAGATTTTATCTTATGTTCACAAAGCAGTTAGTGACTCAGTACAAGGTTAAATATTTTCAGTTGCCTAAGGTAAGGAACAGACTTCTTGGACATGGATAGGAGTTACCAGCTTCTAAATGCTGTATGTTAGGGCTCTTCTGACGCAGTTATGAAAAACTCAGATTTTTAAATGGCTCTTCATGTTTTAGGAGACACATCAGTGACTGGAAAACATCCCAGGATGTGTGTTGTCTCTGTGTTGAGTGTTTCAGGGCATGACGGCTTGTCTTGCTGAGGGCTTAGCCTGCTGTTCTGGGGTCCTTGGCTTCGCCTGTGTGATCCTGCGGAGTTGCTTGCACTTGGAAAGTGCAGGACCGAACCTTTCTTCTTGGGTCCTCCAAGTGTTGCTTTGGAGGGAAGGCGTTTCCTCCCCCAGCTGCTGCCAGCTCTCCAGGGAGATCTCAGGGCTGCTGGTGTGAGGGTGCCAGCTCAGCAGTGGCCATTCCCTCTGCATCCCTGTCCTAGAGAGCCGCGGGGACGCTGGGCTTCAGCGTGCTTGGGTCCAGGTCACCCGCTGGTAGTCTGTCATCTGTCCCGGGCATGGACGTTGACCTCAGAGTCTGGATAAATTGGGAGTTTCTTGCCTACCTAAAACTTCTTGGGAATTCCCTGGGGGTTCTGTGGTTAGGACTCTGCGCTCTCACTGCTATGGGCCCAGGTTCAGTCGGCCCCTGTTGAGGAACTAAGATCCTATAAGCCACACTGTGTAGCCAAAAAAAAAAAACATGTAATACCAGTTAAATAGCTTCTTAGTTTTGAAAACCAGTGGCAGCTGTTCTGCCTTCAGTATTCTTTCAGACTGGTTTCAAGGCTCCCAGGTGACCACACCTCCGCTAATAACGTTGTTATTGTTCCAGAGTCTGTGGCTCGTTCCAGCAAGCTGCTGGGTTGGTGCCAGCGGCAGACAGACGGCTATGCTGGGGTGAACGTGACGGACCTCACCATGTCGTGGAAGAGCGGCCTGGCCCTGTGTGCCATCATACACCGATACCGCCCTGACCTGATGTGAGTCCAGGCTTGGCCCCATCCGTATTCCCTTCGCTCAGGTGGCCTTTTTCCAGAATGGGACGCGTAGCACAATGCTTCCTCTGCAGGTTGTGACTGATCTTGATGTAGCGGTGTTTAAAGCTCTGTCTCTCAGGCATTCTGTAGCTTGTGACCAGCTGAGTGTATAAGTCTCCATGCTTGCGAGGTGGACCCCCTGAGCCTGCTAACATCCCATGAAGGGAAACCCTGTTTCCTGGCCCCAGGCTGAGCTCTGCATGCAGCCAGCTCTCTGTCTGGTGCTGCTGGTCACGAGGAAGCCTGGCTGGGTGGGGCCCGGAGCATGTGTGTCCCTCGTGGCAGATCAACTGCCCCGTTCAGCGGGGCTGGCCCGCATTGTGTCTGTCTCCCGCACTTTTGGCGAGTGTCGAGCCCGTGACACTCAGGTGGCCTTACCTCACTGTGTGGTGCCATTTCCTCTCTTGGTCGTCCTGTGCTCATCTAAACACAGACTAGCCCAGCAGGACGACCCAGGTCGGCTGGTGCCTGGGGCACCCAGCTGCCCCTGCGGGCAGTCCTTACCGTGGAAGCCAAACAGGAAGATTCAGAAACAAGCAGAGCACGTGGGGTTATTTTGACCGTCTGTCCTTTCATCATTAGGTCCACTTACCGGCCCATTTTTGTGTTTGTCTTATTTTAACGATTACCTAAGGAATCCTGAAAGATTTAGTTCCCATTTATGTTAATAAAGCAGCCTCACCTGGTGTTTAGAAATGGGGATTTCTGATTGGCTTGGATAAGTGACCTCTGGCGCCTGGTCCTTGGCTCATGCGGAGGATGATATAAAGCGAGCGGAAGTAGGGCCTAGTCACCCTCTCCCAGGGGCAGCTTGAGGACGACTGTGGTAACGTCACAGGAGTGCTGAAACGAGGGCCAGGCGAGTCACGTCTGCTCCAGGGGGAGAGCAGGACGAAGGGCTGGGGTCACAAGCGCTGGAGGGAGCCTGGCTGGTGGGTGGGGCCGCGCTTTTGTTGGATGCACCGAAGGTGCTCCAGGGGCCTGGGGGTTTCCTCCTGATGCACACAGAGCCCGGAGTTGTTAACTTGGCACTGTTCAGGCTGTAGTGACTTCACGGAGGATGAGGCCTCCATAGTTTAGTAGGCTTAATATACAGAGTAAAGGAATTCAGAAAATGAAACAGTTACACAGTCAGTAGGTTAACATAAAATAAGGCCTGCTCAGTTAGGCTGAAGTCACGAAGCTATCAGTCTTTACTTGACTGAATAGCAGGAAGCCTGAAACCCAGTGGGAAATGTTCGTTAATCTAAGTACTTAGGGAAACTCAGGGACTTAGCAATAAAACAACCTTTTGTGGAAAGTTTTGGAATTTCCCTGTGAGCAGAAGGCCGAGTATGATTCACTAGAGCCAACCTAGTCCATCAACAGCTTGTCAGCTCCATGGACACGGGGGTGATGGCTCCAGGCTTTTTAAACACAGCCTCATCCAAACAGGACCTGTTCATTGTTGAGCATGAGGTTAATACACACAGACCACATGCAGGCGCAGGGGAAACATAATAAAAACAGCTCATTTTCTTGAGCCTCCATTTTAGTAAGAAGTTTACGTTATTGGAGAAATGTTTTGTTTTCCAACTTTTCCCTCTTGTCATTTGTGGGTAGATCTTTAATCCTGTGTTCCTCCTGAGGATGATTTGATTTTGTTGGTAAGAGGAAGCAAGCTGAGAAGTGAGATAGGTTTGCTGTCCAGTTTCAGTGTGGTACTGAACCCTGGCTTTGCACTGACTACTCCATGGTACGGTGTTTTCTGGTCTGGGGCTCTATCAAGCGTGGTCTTGACATGTCTTTCTCATCCTCTTCCTCAGAGATTTTGATTCTTTGGATGAGCAGAATGTGGAGAAGAATAACCAGCTGGCCTTCGATATTGCTGAGAAAGAGCTGGGCATTTCTCCCATCATGACAGGCAGAGAGATGGCCTCCGTGGGGGAGCCGGACAAGCTGTCCATGGTGATGTACCTGACCCAGTTCTACGAGATGTTCAAGGACTCGCTCCCCTCTCGAGGTAAGGGTCCCCGGGGCCGCTGGGTGGCTCCCGGTGCCCTGCCGCCATCAGACCCATTTCTCTGCCGGTGTTGGCAGGCCCTCCTTCTGATCTACCTCTTGCTCAGCACGCCTGCGAATGTGGAGTCCGTGAGCATTCCTGTCCAGAGTCTTGTCCCTTTCTCTCCAAACCAGCCTCTTTGAAAAATGCTTTTGCTGTGACCTGGGCTTCTTCACTGCTCAATCTTTGTGGCACTTTGCAACCCAGCCTCTCTGCTCTGCCCAAACTGTTCTCTGTGGTCAGGGAGAATCACCAAATGCATATCCTTCCTGAACCTTCTCACCTCTTAGGCACTTGGCTGTTCTGCATTGTTCAGTGCTTGGAACAATGTCTGTTCCATTGAAACTCTGTCTTGCTCTTGGCTTCTGTGATCCTGGACCACACTTGCCTCGTTCTCGTTCCTCTGTAACTGTTCCTTCTTTGGCTGCTCTTTATTCTCATGCCTTTTAGTGTTTCCAGAAATCTTCCCCTGGCCCTCAGGCTGTTGGGAAACAGATGAAGTAAGCGTCATGATGCTTATGAGTGTTGACCATGGTACCTGACCTGGTTTGCACCCCTTTGCCTCCCCTTGTTCAGCTGGAGGCAAGTCACTAAACTCCCCCGTGCCTCAGTTTCCCCTTCTATAAAATGGGGGCAATATGTATATGGTTAGATTGTGAAATGCTGAGAAGAGTGTTTGCTGGATGGAAGCACTTACATAAATGTTAGTTGTGTATTATTAATTTCAGTTATTATCTCAGCATTACTGTTGTTACTAATAAAACGTTGGTATCCACAGATTTGAAGTGCCATTCTCCAGTGTCTTCTAGCCATGCACTTGTAGACCTCTCAGGCTTTTTCTTGTTAGAGATACAGTTCTTGCAACAGAAATCCACAACTCTAACATCAGTATGCCCGTCAGGGAGAGCCCCGCCTCCATGTGAAGCTAAGTACAGGTGTATGCACACCCCAGAACGATGCCCTGGGTTGCACCTTGTCTTCCCCACGTCTCTCCCGTTCTGTCTCTGCCTCAACTTTTTATCCTCAAAGTGGGGCTTTGGCACTCTGCTGTGACCCACATGCACAGGCAGATTGCATTTTTTGAAAAGCCGAAGCGGGGGATTTTGTGACTGAAGATGACTGAGGCAGGTGTTGGTCCTATTTGCATGGAGAAGAGAAGACCTAGCGCGCAGGCCTCTAGTGCATTGTCTCGGGAGTTCTTGCTCGGCTCAGAGTACCCTGGCTCTCCTGCGGGGAGGCACCTTCACGGCTGTCCTTGAACGCTGCTGATTTCTGCCCGCAGACGCCTCAGACCTGAACGCGGAGGAGAGGGCTGTCCTGATAGCCAGCACCAAGTCCCCTATCTCCTTCCTGAGCAAACTCGGGCAGACCATTTCTCGGAAGCGCTCCCCCAAGGTAAGCGGGCGGGATTTCCTCCAGCTGCAGAGCTAGAGGTGAGGTGCGGAGAGTGAAGGAATGCGATTTCCCTCTGTTCTTGGTGTAGGACAAGAAGGAAAAGGACTTGGATGGTGCTGGGAAGAGGAGAAAGACCAGCCAGTCAGAGGAGGTGAGAGAAATGTCTGGGATTTGCCAGAGTGACTGTACTGTGCTTCTTCCTGGCTTAATCCCCCAGTTTCCGAGTTAGTATTGCTGGATCTTTCCAGTTCATCCATGTGAGAAGGGTGGGCACGGATGCTTCCTGTGGCCTTGTGCCTCTGTTCTTTGGAGAGCATTCCAGGATCACACATGTGTGCACGTGGCCTTCCTTTCTCTGTGGAGTCACACACATGGTGAAGAGCAAGGGGTCTTCCAGGGATGTGATCACACCAGCAAAAGCCGGAGCACCTCTTCATTGCTGCCCCCGCCCTGAGTCTATTTTGAGATGAGAACCGCGAGGAGCACTCTAACCTTGAGACCAGCCATCACGCCAGGCCCTGGGGGGGCGGGGGGGCTGCTCTGACACAGGCGGCTCTCGGGACCTATGTTCCTCAGGAGGACACGCCCCGGGGCCACAGAGGAGGGAGGCCCACCCTGGTGAGCACGCTGACCGACCGGAGGATGGACGTGGCCCTCGGCAACCAGAACAAAGTGAAGTACATGGCAACCCAGCTGCTGGCCAAGTTTGAGGAGAACGCGCCCCCACAGTCTGTGGGTGTGAGGAGACAGGTAGGCCTCGCTCACCCTCCAGTACCTGGTCTGGCCTCAGAAGAGGGAGCTGGTGAGATGGGGAATGTCTCAGACCCCCCGAGGGCTCCAGGCTCGAGGCGGCGTCTGTGTGGGGAGGGAGGAGGGTTACTGTCGTCACCAGGCAGGTCCCAGGTGTCTGTGACAGACGCCCACCCGGGACCTTCACAGTGTGGTGGGGTCTCAGTCTCTGCACGTAGGTGTGTTCACATGCATACATACATGAGTGGTAAACCAACGCTTGCCCTGATTAACTTCAGTCACAAAAACCTCCGCTTCTGCTTGTTGAGGAAAATGCTGAAAATAATGTTGGTAGTTAAGGCCCCTATAATGTTATTAACATTTTGCCATGTTTCTTTCAGGTCTTTTCATTAGTATGTCTTTGTTTTCATAGTTGAGGTCATTATTGACATGTACTTTTCTGTTCTGCTTTCTTCGTGTAACTTTGGGCATATTTCCATATTCCAAACTCCTTACAAGTCTCTTCCAAAGTGTGTACTCTGTGCCTTTCTTAACCCTTCCTCTGGTGCTGGATGTTGACTTGTTTCTCATCTCTGATGATAAGCACAGAGGTAAATACTCTGGATAAAGCTGCCTTATTAGACTGTCCTTGACGAGGTCAAGAGTGGGCATGTTATCAAGATGCTCCGTTGACTAACCTCACACACATCCTCCCGAATCCTGGTGAGGGCTGGCCGGCGATGTCTATCCGGTCTTGTCTCTCCTTTTGCTCGTCCAGAAGTCACTCTGGCTTCTCATGAAAGGAGGTGCTGACATAGTGTGGTCCACACCGAGAGCTACTTCCCGAACCCCTGGTGCTTAAGCGCGCGTCTCCTCTTCACCTTCTCCACGTTGTCAGCCCCTATTCCTGTGGACCAGGGTGGGGTCCACCACATGAACATCTTCTCACGTCTGGTGCTCACTCAGATCCTCTCGCCTCAGGCGTCTGTGCCGAGGAGCCTGCAGCCCAGGCCCCCTCCCACCTCGGGAACGTGGGGTGCTGTCCGCCAGAGGAAGTTTGTCCTCAGGAGATGCACGCCTCAGTTTCCAAGTGGCAATTAGTGGTTTAGGCTCAGAGCAGTGAGCTCGGGAAAAAGATACTCAGAATTACAGCTCTGTCTGTCTTCTCCTTTGTGTTTGTTTTTGACCTAGCTGGGGGTTTCTTGTTGTTTTTTTTCACAAGTGTAACTTACATTTTTACATATATATAAGTGTAACCTATGTATTTTTCTTTATAAGTGTAACTTTCTAGAATTAATTCTGTGAGCCCTTCTTCAGTTCTTAGATGTGTGTCTGTCTGCTGTGAGAATCATCTTTGTGTCTGCTACCTTAATGTGTGTTTTTTTGTTTTTTTTGTCTCCATGTGCTGTCCCTCCCCACACTGGCCTGTGTGTCACAGCTGACACAGGAGCGTGGGGTCAGCCAGCCGTCCAGCTGCCTGCCTGAGCAGGGTCGCTCTGCTCCCACCCCACAGTGGAAACAGGTAAAGGAACTGCCCAGGCCCAGGCCTTCCCACCCGCTCCTCCTCTGAGCCAGCTGGCTGGAGGCCTCACTGGAGCCCCGGGTAGGGATCTGTGTGCATTTGAGTGGACTCCAGGAAGGTTTAGTAGATAGTACTGACAGTACCAGGCGTCCCTGATAGCTCAGTTGGTAAAGAATCCACCTGCAATGCAGGAGACGCCAGTTTGATTCCTGGGCCGCGAAGATCTGCTGGAGAAGGGATAGGCTATGCACTCCAGTGTTCTTGGGCTTCCTTTGTGGCTCAGCTGGTAAAGAATCCGCCTGCAATGCGGGAGACCTGGGTTCGATCCCTGGGTTGGGAAGATCCTCAGAGAAGGGAGATGGGAAAGGCTACCCACTCCAGTGTTCTGGCCTGGAAAATTCCATGGACTCTGTAGTCCATGGGGTTGCAAAGAGTTGGACACAACTAGTAGTCACTTTTACTAACAGTACCGCATGACCTCTATAACCCCTTTGGATTTGGGAATCCAGTGAACAGGCTGGGCTGTTTAGTGTTGAAACCAGCTGGAACTGTGTGGTGAGGTTCCGGAGTCTTTGGGGTTTTGCTCTTACAGCCTTTGTTCCAAGTTTACCTTTGGCTGACTTGTGACTGCATGACCCCTGGAGGACCATCCTGAATTTGGGGCTTGGGGCAGTGGGCCTTGGTGTTAAACAGGAAAATGTTATCCAGGTAGTAGTTTCAAACTCTGGTTTGTTACCTTGTCTCAAACCATGGACGGTGATCGTGTACACTTTTCTTGGTGTTTTAGCTACATTTAAAATATCCTTTTTAGACATTTTCACTGAAGTTTCTGCAGAAACTCCTGTAGAGTGATTTCTACATGGTAGAGTGGGGCAGAGAGAGAGGAGGTGGTGCCTGGTGGTCACAGGAAGCCCGTCAGCCATGGGAGGCCTCTGCTCCGTCCCTTCTGCGTCAGGAGTACGGCCTGGGTCTGCCCTCTCTGGTTTGGAATCACTGAGGACTGGGGTTCTGAGCGGTGGTTGGGTGTGTGGCCATGGTGCCCTCCTGTGCTGGGAAGTGCTGGGAGGTGGTGAGATAGGTTTAGTTGAAAGACATTTAAGGCAGATTGTTTCTTTCTTAACCTTTCTTTTAATATGCACATAAGGCAGGCCTGTGAGGCTGAAATGGAAGCTTGGGAACAGAGTCCAGACTCACCACAAAGCCAAGCTGCCTCTTCATGTGCTTGGGGAGGGGTGGTCTTCTGAGAAAAACTTGTTAGCAATTGATTTTTGTTTTACTGACTTACCCTTCACCTTGAGTAGGCCCTCTGATTTAAAGGTCAGTCTTTAGTGGAGGATTCCTGAAGGGGAAGATGAGCTTCTTTCCCAGATTCTTATACCCGTCACAGAAGTGGCCTGAGACAGGACCACAGTCGCTGGGTAAAGAGATGACCTTGAGTGGCACTTCCTGGAGTGGCCCAGGGCAGGGACCCCTGCCAGGCTACAGGGGCGCCTGGAGCCTCAGCCCGTGCGGGTGCTGCCTGCACACATCCGGGTGATCTTTGGTCGCGGTCAGTGGAGTTGAGTGCATACTGCCAGTTTCTCCAGGCAGAACAGAACCCTTAAAGTCAAGTCTGGTCTGGGAAGGGGCACTGGAGATGCGGGTTAGAAGGCGCAGCCAGGTCTCTGCAGCCATCAGACCTGTGCTGTGTGTTGTGTGAAGCGAATTGTCAGCCTGCCCCACTGTGGGGGGGGCCGTTCCCCAGTTCACGACCTCATGAATGCATCATGTCACGGATGACACATCCCCAGGACTGACTCAGGGGTGGCGTCACGAGCCTGCTTTGTGCACCTAGTCCCTGAGAGAGAACACTGCCAGGTGCCACACAAATGGGGACACAGGAGGACTCCTTTGGGGGCTTGGGGGGGCAGACAGGAGCAGTGTCCCTGCCTCCCCCCTCCCGGGCTTTGCAAGGAGCACCCCACAGGTCGGTCTGGGCGTGAGAAAGCTGAGGCCCCTCTGACCTAGGAAGCTGGTGGTTTGTTAGGCCCCAAAGGGTTCCTACACTGGAGACAGCCTCCCAGGAAATGGACGCCGTGGGAAGGGGCATGTGGGGACGTAGCCTGTGGACACTGTGTGGTGTCAGTTGGCAGAGGTGCCGTTTTTGTCTCCTGTCTCCTGCTCTTCCCTGTGTTTCCTTGGTCATCTCCCAGAACCTTTCGAGTGTGAGTGAGGGTATGTCCTGGGCCCCTCTCTTCTGCCCCCAACTTTCTTGATAAACCAACAAAGAAGAATATGCTCCAGGTCTGGGATTTAGAAAGTGCTGCCCTAAAAAAAAAAAAAAGAAAGAAAGTGCTGCCCTGTAGGTCCTGAGCCCACAGCGGCTGCACGAGACTCGGATCTGCAGACAGCGTGCCTCCAACTAGAGGCTGACGGCAGGCAAGGCGGGTGCTCGCTGGAGACACGGATTTGTGCTGATGGAGGCGCGGGGTTGGGGAGGGGTCTCAGGATGCCTTTGGCAGGTGCCTCTCGTCCTTCCAGAACCAACCTCAGCGTGGCCATCTTTTCACCTGTGTTCTCTCTGTTTGTGTCTGTTGGTGTAAAAGCGACGTGACAAGGAGCGTTCTCGGACCTGCCCCAAAAAAGTGATCACCCTCTCTCCTCCCCCTACTCCGCCTCCCTATCGGGCACGTGGCGACCAACAGGTGACCCCCTCTGCATGTTCTGCTGTCCTGTGTGCCTGCCTGCCTGTGTGGGTGGCTAGGGTGGAGAGACCAAGTCAGAGTCCCCTCGTTTCCATGGTGACCGGTACTGGTGGGCCTCAGGGTAGCAAGTGTACGTTCAAACCCTGGGTAGTTTAATTCAGCCCCATATCGTGAGAAGATGACCGTGCAGCTATAAACTAAAGTTTAAACTACACTGACCCAGACACAAGGTCCAACAGACTGAGCGCATTTTCATGCAGCCCTGCTGGAGTCAGCCATTTTGGTCTTGCTGCCCAGGGAGGCGCAGTTCAGGTAGACTTTGGAAGCTTTTTCTAGGGCTTCATTCTATGAGTTTGGTTCCTTCCAGTTTTGAGAGCCTGCCTCCTGTTTATCTGGCTTTTGCCAACAAATGGCTGCCCTTCCATCCACCCCTCTCGCTCTCTAGGCAGACACTGGAGAACTGCTTCATGGCGAGTGGGCCACGCATGTTTGTGGCCAGCACGCCCATTGAAAGTGTGGTTACAGAACAGCGTTTTTGACTTGTGTTGCACGTCCTTGTAAAATAAAACACTGATTTTAAAGAAAGGCAGGGTCTACGGAAAGACGTTTCGTTAGCTGTGGTAGCCTGTTTAGGAGGTGACCCTGTGCTGTGTCTGATGAGCAAGCCCAGCTGATGTCCCTGGGCCTGGACCCTGAGCCCCTGTGGGGCCGTGGCTGCCCTGGGCCCTGTCCATGCCTGAGAACCACCACGGGCATTTCTTGTGAGCCAGGCAGGCTTCTGAGCATTTTCCTGTGTCGTCTCAGTCTCTTCTCAT